TGTCTTTATCCTCAGAGAAACATCAAAAGCAACCCAACACCCTGTAGTGATTATGCCAAGAATGCAGGTCGCCCTTTTAGTTTACCACATAAGTACACCAGATAAAGTATACAAGTCAAACTCAAGAAGAGGGTGCACTCATTTTGTGCTCATTTAGTGGGTTAGATGAGAAGTGGAAGTATGACATCATTATTTTCAAAAGATTGCATTTTGGTTGTTTACAAAAAAATGAGTAGGTAGTGTTTTGATTAAATTTATTTATTTATTTATTTTTGCTTCACAAGCTGTTTCCATAAAAATGTTTTAGAGATCCTAAAATGCTGTTTTAGTGTATAAGTAAGATCAAACTGATAAGAACTTAAAAAAATAATTGTGCATTATCACAAATAAAAAAAAGGTTCCCATGTGGATGCATTTGAGTTTTTTATTTGATTCATTTTAATTTGACTTATTCCAGTATACTTTATTTTTCAAGCTAGACTAGAGCATTAAATATGTAAAGGTACTGGTGAAACAAGTTTGGATGAAAAAGAATCTTCCTACTGTGGACGAAAGTAACTAAAATGTCCAAACAATATTTAAAGCAGATTTGAGAGTTGATTGATCTTTCATTTGTCACTCTCAAATCCAAAAAAATGTTTAACTGCTCTTTCTCTCCTCTTCCTGACCCCTTTTTTCCCTTCAGTCTTTCATTTGCCATCCATTACGAATGTGTGACAGGTTCCAGACACATGGAGAGGGGGAAACAATGTGTTGTGACCCTCAGTACCGCCCTCCAGCTCAGAGCTTGGCTTCAACTCCTTCTCCCAGCTGACTGCGGGGGGCCTGACCACCCCCTTCACCAGCGCTGCCGCCATCTCTACCACCAGAATCAATCGTGCTGTGACACCGAACAAACGATCCGCTGAGGTCCATGCATCACAGAGCAGTGCACCACCAACAATGACCAGCCATGTGGTTCAGATGAGAAAGAGCATGCAGAACATGGAGAGTTACTGCGACTAAATAAAAGCATTAGGTGTAAGAAAAAGAGAGCGATGTGTGGAGAAAGGAGAACATAGAGAAACTGCTAATAATTTGCAAGAATTATGTTCAAAAACTGTTTTTTAAATATAACTAACATGGGTATTTTAAATAAGATGTAGTGTTTTCTTTGCATTTCTGTGCACCATGTTTAAGAATTGTTTGTAACTTTTCCGTTTCTTTGAAATTGTTTAATCAGTACAGTTTAAAAAGTAATATTAATCCAAAAAGCAAAACAAGTGGGATGCATTGATTATCACTTACTGCCAAGAAGTGCTCAAATGCACAAATGCTGTTTGTGTGTTTGTCTATTAACAAAACATCTGATGAACCACTGGAGGAACTTTAATAAAACTCACAGAAGAGAAACTCTGCCCACAGATAATCAACTTTACCAAACATACAAATGACTAACTTCATCATTTATCCAGGTGTTGAGCTAACATTTTGGTTCGATTGTGGCTGAGAGTCATCCCAGTCCTGTGTGATAATGTATTCTCACAACCTAATGTCAAAATTTCAAGTTAAAATTCATGCTTGTCAAATGAATAGGGTTTTTACAAACAAAAAATAATCTGTGAAAAATCATTTAAAGTATTTGGATCTATAGTTGGTTTTGAAGCTTTTGATGTTTTCCTGAACAAAAAAAAGTTATGCTGTAATTTCAAAACATAACTAAACTACGGTAGTCCCTCGCTACTTGGTGGTTCATTTTTCGCGGACTTGCTTTATCTTGGTTTTTCAAAATAAGATTGGATATGACAAATAATTGGCTGATTGATGGATGAGCCACACAATCGGCATTATTATTTAAAATAAATTATTTTACATTATGTAGCACCTCCTGCACCTCTGTGCAGCCCACACTGCAGGATAAGCTTCCTCCTGCAGCTGATCTCCATGCAGAGCGAAGAAGTGGGCGTGGTCAAGAGTGCCTGCAGGAGGCAGAGAGCTGAAATCATGACATTCTGTGCTCTTTTAGAGAGTTTAGAAACACTGTTTAGAATATTGCAAGAGTGTGGGAAGGGTTTAAAATGCCTTTCATATATATATATATATATATATATATATATATATATATATATAGAGAGAGAGAGAGAGAGAGAGAGAGAGAGAGAGAGAGAGAGAGAGAGAGAGAGAGAGAGAGAGAGAGAGAGAGAGAGAGAGAGAGAGAGAGAGAGAGAGAGAGAGTATATGTAAATACTAAAGTAAACTATTACTTACTACTGGTACTGCTATCCCTACTTCGTGGTTTTTCCCTTATGGCGGGGCTTCAAGGTACAGATCCCCCGATAAACGAGGGACTACTGTGCATCCATAAATTAAAGTTTAAAAAAAAAAAACCAACAACTGAGTTTTAAACTTTTACTACTCTAAAGAAATGTCTATACTGAGTTGAATAGGTGACGATAACATTCACATTTGACATTCATCTGGTGAGTGGAAGTTTCACAAAAATGTTCAGAATTAAAAGATAAAAAACTTACAAATCATGTTTTATGATCATTATTCACACATATCCATAAAAGCAGTTTTCAGATTCATTATTTGAATATCTTCTCTCTCTGTCAAAACATTGACTGTTGCTCCTTTAGAAGCACATTTTATCCAAAAGGGTTCAAGACTTATCACTTGCTAATGTCTTCTCCTCCCACCACTTGTTAAAAAACACTGTTAATTGACCATAAAGATTGTGGCTCCTTGACTGTGATTAATTAGCATATGTTCAGCAAAAAAAATTAATCCTTTAGTGCTTTAATTATGGCTGAGCAGATTTTGTCAGCATCCGAGGTCCTCTCTGGTCAACGACCACTATTGTTTACCTCAAGTGTTATTTTACTCTCGAGGTTCCCCAAGGGAGCCAAGTGCCCTTCTTCAAACCTCCCCCTTATCCTTACACACACACAAAGAGGCACACAAATAGTATACGATGACAAAATTGTGTTAATTTACCCAGCCTGTAGTATTAACCATATTATATCAAATAACTGCCACAGACAATTGGGCAGCCAGCTCTGAGACTTCATTTTAATTGATTTTCTTACATGCTCTCAGCCATGGATGATTTGGTTTCCCTCTGACACTATGTTTATTAAAGGCATATTGCATAAAGGAATAAATAGATACTGTTGGTTGGATTTATATGAGCTTTGAGGGAAGGCAGAGCTTTGCCCCTTGTTTTAATATGAGCCAGGCTTTCTGTGTTTAGTTTGATTAAAGTCAATATATTTGTTTAACCTTTGGGCAAAAGGGATATCTTTGCGTATGTGTGCGTTGAGCAAGTGTGTTTTTATATATATTTAAATGTATTTGTGCTGGAAAAGATGCACCAAATAGAGAAGCATTTACAGTCAAACCAACCTGTCACAGCAAAAATAAAAAATAAAAAAAAACTTGGAAGAAAAACTCAGCTATTTAGAAGAGCTGACTTTACTATAATATGCAACACAACACTTGAATTGAGCCGTGCACCTCTCTGTTAGCTAGAAACACATTTTATTTTCTGTTTTCTTCAAGTGGAATTGCTGCAGGAGACCACAGGACCGTTTCATCTTGAACATCCTTTACCAGCTGTCTCAGTCTTAAAGGCATGCTGTTCAGCCAACATAAAATCCCACTAATCATCTTTTTGTGTTTCGGGGCACAATATGCTGAAACAGGAAGGGTGCAAACACACACCCACACTTCTGTATGTCCACATAAACACACATGCAAGACACTACCAGCCTGCTGCTCTTTTGTCCCCATGCCCTGGGGGGAGAGGAGGGAGGGGGTTTGGTATAATCACTTGTTAGAGGTCTGCCCCCATCACATACACACCCAAACACACTTCTCTCTTCACTCACAAAACTCATCACAAAGCCCCCCCCCCCCCCCCCCCCCCCCCCCCCCCATCTAACCAATAACCAGTTTGTACCCGATAACTTTCCTCACTCACTCATGTCTGCTGTTCATCATTTCTCTTTAAATACCTCATCTATGGGACTGCCTGCACCTTTCATTTTTATTGATAGAAACTTTTTTCAAAGTACATTTTTACACTAATTGTACACAAACATGGATGGATGGATGGATGGATGGATGGATGGATGGATGGATGGATGG